GCTCCATTTACCATCAGTCGCGAAAGAGACCCCGAGGTATTTAAACTCCTCCACTCAGGGCAGCTGTTCCCCCCTCACCCGGAGAGAGCAATCCACCGTCTTCCGGGAGTGAACCATGACCTCAGATTTGGAGGTGCTGATCCTCATTCCAGTCGCTTCACACTTTGGCATCAAACCGTTCAAACGCTGGAGATCACAGACTGATAAGGCAAAGAGGACGTCATCTGCAAAAAGCAGCGACGCCACCTCCATGCCCCCGTACTGGATACTCTCCATACTTCGGCTGCGCCTTGATATATTGTCCATGAAAATCACAAACAGGAGTGGAGACAATACGCACCCTTGGCGGAGTCCAAAACTGACAGTAAACGACTTTGATTTAACACCAAAAATACGGACACAGCTCTCACTCTGGGAATAGAGGGACTGGATAGCACACAAAAGCGGCACCGGTACATCGTACTCCCGCAGCACCTCCCACAAGACATTGCGGGGAACATGGTGATATGCTTTCTCCAAGTTTACAAAGCAGAGGTAGACTGGAGAAGCATACTCCCAAGACACCTCAAATATCTTGTGAAAGGGAAAAGAGCTGGTCTATTGTTCCATGACCATGATGGAATCCACGTTGTACCTCCTGAATCTGAGGCTCGACCACTGGGCGGAGCCTTCTCTCCAGCACTCTGGCATAAGCTTTACCTGGGAAGCTGAGTAATGTGATTCCTCTGTAGTTGGAGCACACCCTCTGGTCCCCCTTTTTTTTAAATGGTAACCACGACCAACAGTTTGCCAATCCAGAGGTACTGTTCCCACCTTCCATGCAACAATGAAGAGGCGTGTTAACCACGACACTCCGACACTGTCCAGCGCTTTCAACAACTCTGACTGAATCTCGTCGACCCAAGCAGCTTTGTCTCTACGAAGGCCCTCGACCGCCGCAGCGACTTCAGAAGCCGTGGTGGATCTGACCCCCTTAGCTGTTTCCAGGGCTGCCTCCTGAAAGGAGGCTATGTTTACCGGGTTGAGGAGCTCCTCAAAGTGTTCCTTCCACCTCTTGACTATCTCCTTAGTTGAGGTCAATGTTACGCCACCCTAACTGAGAACAGCCTGGGCCACGTCCTGTCGACCCCTCCTAAGGCATCGGATGGTTGGCTAGAACATCTCTGAAGCTGCCCCATAGTACCTCTCCATGGCCTCTCCCAAATCCTCCCATGCCCGGGCCTGTCGCTTCAGCCACTGCTGCAGCTGCTGCCCTCTTGGCAAGCCGGTAGCTCTCAATCGAGTCGGGAGACCTTTTTTTCTGAGCATAGCTTGGGAAGCCTCCTTCTTCAACTTGACATGGTTTGTTCAAGGTGTTTATTTCCAATGATATCCTATTATTTATTTTCCCATGTTAAAAATGTTCCCTATTTGTATAAGCACATTCAAATGAAATGAGGTAACTTTGAGTAATGTTTTGCAGGTAAATGTTAATTGTGTTTTCCTAATTTAAAGCTTTTTTTCACTCAGATGTCGTTATTTTAATATTTATAAAAATGTTCAAAAATTAGACTTGTGTCCACTAGGGGTCGCGATTTAACCCCAGTCGGCAGTTTCATTACATTTTGTCTGTAAAACGCTAATTTTGAAGCACATACGGCGAATTACACAAGTGTATCCACAAATGTATCTGTAAGCCACGGTTTTGTGCAAAATCACTGTGAAACTAAGCACGGGAACCTTTGTTGACATTACAAATTAGGTTTTAACGTTTGTAATTGTTTCGAAAATAGTTTTGGCGTCAAAACTGCAACTTTAATGCGAGTTTCCAACAAAAGGGCTCCCAAAGCGGCGACATGACCAGTTGTCCTGTGTTCATAGCGCTTCTTGTGTCTCATTGCTCAATTTTGCAGTGATTTACAGTAAAACAGTGGCTTACACGGCGTAAATGTGGTAAACACGGTGAAAAACGATACATTTGCTTAAAAAACAGAGTTTAAATGCAAAATGTAATTAAACAGCGCCCCCTAGCGGTGAAACAGCACCCACGTGACTGCAAAAACATGCGTGACGTCGGCGCGCATTATGACGTTGGCGCAGACGCGGTGACGTGTCATTATGTACGTTTTCTATTGGCCAAAAGAACAAACAGAATTCAAACCCGGGCCGCTAGTGTTCGAAGGCCCACAAACGTTACCACCGCACCAGACAAGCTTTGCGTTTGGTCGCGATCTTGTGGGTCACTAAAGTAATTGTTCAGATGAACATTGCTTGTTTAACACTTTTAGTAAGGTATCATTCATATACATGAAAAAATAATGTGAAATAATCATTCATGCATATATTTATATACCAAAACCAAAATTTTAACATTTTTTAAAGTATTTTTTTTCGAACCTGTTTTTCCGTGACTCTCACTCAGCCACCGTGTAGTGATAATGTCACTCACGTGTTTGTCTTTGATAAAGTGGCGGAGAGTGAATATGACATGGACGGTGGGATTCACGACACGGGGAATTTTGGCAATACAATTGAGTAGATCAGGCAGTGGTGGCAAACGCGTGTCCTAATATGGGGAGGGGGGGGGGGCGATACACAGGACTCTTGCCACAGAAACATATTGATGATGTATCTGCTTTGGGCATGGGGCACAGTGGAGTGGCTGTGCCAACTTCATAAGCCATACACGTGGCCACGTTTCTCAATATTGGGCTTAGGCTCCGTGGGTCCAGTTCGCATGAGTGGTGTATTTCTTAAGCTGTTGAGAAATGTGTTTCAGCAGACAGCTTTCAAAAGTTGGTGCCATCTTCTGGTGTTCCGCTCCGGCAAATTAAGCGCGTTTCAGCTCTTCAGTACAGATGTTTAAGCACTATTTTAAAATGACATCCCTGGCTGAGGGTTCATCTTGTGTCACGTTAGGGCGAACCCTTGCAACTCATGTCGAGCCTCGGATAACCCGGTGACCCGAGTTAAAACCCTGCCTCCATCAACGCGGGCCCTCTTGTGAGCAGTTTACGTCTGAGCTCTGATCAGAATGGACTTGTGAGCAAGTGGTGGCCCTCGTGGGGCAAATAAGCCATGGGTATTGCGGCGGAACAAACCATTGAGAAAACTCCCAATGCATGCAGAAAAATTTATCTCAGCAGGCCTGTGAATCCCCGTGAGGAGCAGAAGTGAAGATTGGCCATTGGAGACCTGGGAAACGAGCACTTTCTCGGGAGCCCAATTGCAGCCTTGACATCCCAGCAACAGATAAAAAAATTAAATAACAGATTAAAAAAATAATCTGTTGTAATTATAGGAGTGTAGCTATATCACCGTAAGTTTGTAAATGTTTCACGTGTTTATCGTAGTTTTTCTTTGCTGTAATTGATGCATATATTCTTGACTTAAAGCTTTCATGACTGCAGGAATTCATATTCTTTGGGTATTTCGGTAAAGCCACATATATAGATCAAATAATAAAAATAATAATAGCACGACATTTCGATCACAACACAAGTAATCGTCATCAGGTGAGAATTATCGCGGGAGAGCTGCTGAGAATACATGGTGGGAGCGCTGCTAAGGTAAGGAGTTATAAAGGTTTGGGATGGGTGTAGCCCAAGGGTCAGTGGGAGGGGCTAGAGATGAAATTTGCATGTAAATGTAAGATCCGGTAAATCTTGACAAACGAAGCTGTGGGGGTGGCCATTGTATTGTGAGAGATTAGCATGTCAATGTAAGAGATTAGCATGTCAATGTAAGAGATTAGCATGTCAATGTAAGCTCGGAGAGAGCTCGGAAAGAGCTATCGCCACATGGAGGTGAAAAATTATGGCAAGCCGCCATTTACTAACACAGCTAACGGTGGCTGTGTTAGTGAATGTAACTCAGAGAGTTGAAAATAACTGCTAACATAGATAGGTAGGGAAGGAACATCACAGCCAGTTATGACCTAAACTGGTTGGTAACGTCCTTTCAATGATTGCTCAGTTTGTTCCCATCTTCTCGGTTGAAGTTGTGTCTGTGTTTATATATCTGGATGGCTTCATGAACGAATCTTTGCTGATAGCTAGTGGGCTTGCAGAGTACCCTCGTCTTGGCAAAATAAATTTCGTGTTTGCCCACAGCGTTAACATAATGATCAGCCACAGCTGAGGTATTAGTCCTGCCGTGTTTCAGATCTGCCTTATATTCACGAACCCGGTCCGAGACATGTCGCTTACTTTCTCCAATGTAACAGCTGCCGCAGACACAGCTTAGTTTGTAGACACTGGGGTATTGCATGTAAGGGATCACATCCTTCAGAGATGGGATCAAATCACGAATTTTATGTTATTAACCAGTTTTGGCTGTGATGTTCCCTCCCTACCTACCTATGTTAGCAGTTATTTTCAACTCTCTGAGTTACATTCACTAACAGCCACCGCTAGCTGTGTTAGTAAATGGCGGCTTGCCATCCTTGTCCACCTCCATGTGGCGATAGCTTTTGCCGAGCTCTCTCCGAGCTTACAGTGACATGCTAATCTCCTACATTGACATGCTAATCTCTTACATTGACATGCTAATCCCTCACAATACAATGGCTACCCCCACAGCTTCGTTTGTCAAGATTTACCGGGTCTTACATTTACATGCAAATTTAATCTCTAGCCCCTCCCACTAACCCTTGGGCTACACCCATCCCAAACCTTTATAACTCCTTGCCTTAGCAGCGCTCCCACCATATATTCTCAGCAGCACTCCCGCGATATTTCTCACCTGATGACGATTGCTTGTGCTGCGATCGAAACGTCGTGATATTGTTATTTTTATATTCATATTTTTTTTTTATAATTTGATCTATCTACGTGCCTTTACCGAAAGACCCAAAGAATATTGATATATTATTTTAAGAAAAACTGCGGTACAATCAACATGAGCCTGCCATAAGTCTTCTAATCATTTCAAGTTTACAATCAATAATACTTTTGAAACGTCCATTCCGTCAGTTACATAATTTAAACTACGAACATGACATAATTAGCATACAGAACTGGTCTAATTAATAATCTTTTTATTTGCAACAAATCCTGCACATTTTGATTGAGAATGCTCAACGTGGATTTAGTCATGGCAATATTATGGTCCACCCTTGTCAAAAATTCCATGTAGCAGGCGCAGACGTGACCTTGTGTTATCATTCCAAGTACAGTACTGTATTAGCCTATATTCATAATCCTTCTGCAACATCAGTCTTTGAACCCACAGCTTTAAAATAAAGTTCAGTAACACACGTGTATGCTGAAGCTGCAAAGCCTACATTACCCTTTCAAGCCCCTTTGAGGGTTGCAGTACGAATTTTTTTAAAATCCTAGCTCACCGTTTCCCAGACATCCACCTAAAACATAATTCACCTTGGCCAAAGATTGCACGTAAAATGTGCTGTCTGCGAATGATGTATTACAAACCAATTTCTGCATCCAATATGCTTAGAATTACACAATTTTTTGAGAAAAAAAAAACACATTTTATCGTGCAACATTGATGCAGGGTTTAAGTTGTCTAATGCTATAACAGGAAAAAACGAATATAGATATTTTTGCAATATTACGTTATCAATTACATAAGCAAATTATATATTTTTTTTCTCAAACGTCATTGTACACGAGTACATTTGAATATCTTGCAATAATTGGGTGTACTTGGGTCTTGTTAAGGATATGTGGTATCAAAGGTTCCCAATTACCACAAGCGTGGCATCTTCTATTCAACATCTTGGAAGAGAAGCAGCAGCACAAAGGAATGGGTTGAATGCAAAATGCTTGAAGGGTGGAAAGGTCATTTCTAGAAATGTGCGCAAGGAACCTTTTATGTCAAATACCGTGTTAACAGGCTCATATATCAACTGCATTGCATTTATTTTTAAATATTTAACTTTGAATTTTATTCATACATTTTGGTTGCTTGTGCTTGTAATGTCTTTAATCATTTAATGTTGCAGTGAATAAACTAACATTTCCCCAAAAAGCGTGTTATACATCTAATGTATTTAAAAACCGAGCTTAGGAACAATGCACTTTCACTGTAAATTCAGGCGAAACTTTAACATAAAAAATTAAAGGAGAAATGAAGATGAATTAAAATTGTGGAAATCTCAGCTCTATCATGAGCAGAACCCTTTCTGTTGCTTTATGCGTGTTGGCAGGACAGCACTCGTAAAGTAGATGGGATCTTCACCCGAACCACGCTAACGTCTCTGATCTGTCACAACCACTCTCGTAACTTTAATTGTATCTTTTTGTCCATTACCTTTGTAATGGAAAAATACTTTTCTTTTTAAAAGTGCAATAAATTTAGTGTTAAAAACTTCTACAAAATCCAACCGGTAGTTTTAGTGTGGCAACACAAAGTGTAATCAGAACATCAATTTTATGAACTTACGGTAAAATAAATATTTAGACAAATATTCCTTTAAATACACAATTTAATTCGCCATTATTCTGAAATGTTACACAGAGCATCGCATCTATTAAATACCATAGTTTAATACTCCCACCCTTCACTCGTTACTCATCAGCGGTGTCTTTCTTTAGTTCTGTATATCTAACACTTTTACTCAACAATACATTTAGCAACATTCATTGCTGTTAACTAGTTTTAACTTTTTCCTCCTTCGAAGATGAAATGCGAGTGCAAGATGTTCATATGACTTTTCATTCTTTCTCAGCAGGATGCAAGGCAGACAAGGCAATTATCCGCCAGACCTCGTGCACACAGCAGGCTCCAACTCAGCGCAGCCCAAACTGCCAGTCCAATTGTACACACGCTACACATGCCCATTGCAAAATGACCATATTTAAAATATATTTGTTGTGTGCTTCTAAAGTGGATTTTTTTTTTACATTTCAGGAATTATATCCAAAGCATTACTTTTACACTCTAGAAAATACTTTTTGAGATTAAACATATTTTTCATAATCAATACTGTAGTTGCAATCCACTCATGTGTATACGTGCAAAATCTTAAGCGTACAAGATGCCTGTGCAGAATGTCGTAATTTTATTTGGAACATGATGTTGCCACCTAGTGAAAGCCAAAAGATCTATTCATGCTATGTTTTTCATTGACATGCAGTCTCCAATCTATAATATTTACAATTTAATGTGATCAAAAAAGCTTCGTTTGTGCAACCCTACATCAAGTTGTGCAATCGTGAACAAGCCATCACAATTCAAGCTTCCGAAATGGGCAAAATAATTCCATGTTATAAACTGGTACAGAAATTACTAAATATGCATCAATGTGTACACCACGGCATTGAATAATAGTAAACCAATACATATGTGATTCAAGTATTCCAACATTCATGTTTAAATCTGCAACAGTACCTTCCACATTTAAATAAATGTATCGTTAAGTATTTATGATAAATCATTTAGCAATCACTCATAAGCACAATATCATAAATACCACTGGAATAACGTGCACTAATACAGTGCAGTGCATAGATGGTTACGAGATGAGGATTGATCCTATCATGACAATGTGATGGACGTTCATGTATGTGGATGATGAGTCTGCAAATCAGGGAAGATAGAAAAAGTAGCCAGCACCAGGATCTTGCTCACTGTTCCACCCAGCATCTCACAGCTCCTGTGTGCCTCCGTTATTCCCACTTGCAGGAGTCTCGTGCCATTCCAGACTCAGGCATTCCTCAAGATTACCTGTACACATGCATTAATATTACCAACCCTGGCAAGCAGCAATCGATATGTACCCAAGACCAACTCTGTGTTCATTCCATCAGTGCATTTTATGTTGTACATTGGAAATGTAGTCCTATCTATAATCCATATTGTAGTGTATGCTCATAAAGAACGAATTGTACATCAGTTATTAGAATACAGAAATATCTACTCGTGACGATTCTGACCTGACCTTTGCGTCCACACTACCCGACACATATATGGCCTTCAGCCTTCAGCCTACATCCAAATTAGTGCGTAATCGCTGCCTTTAGCAGTAGTAAACATGACGCAAACGTACCGGCAGACTTTTATCTCTACACAGCCATCCAATTGCACAGAAGTGGGATCATACAATCTTATACCCCATACTCTTTGGTTCTTTCGGTAAAGTCACGTAGGTAGAAACATAATAGATCACGACGTTTCGATCGCAACACAAGCAATCGTCATCAGGTGGGACAACCACGGCAAGAAAAAACTGCTGAAGTAGCAGAAACGTCGCGATATGTTATTTGTATTTTTTATACCTACGTGATGACTTTACCAAAAGAACCAAAGAGTATGGATTCCTGCAGTCACGAAAGCTTCAAATCAACCTTGTACCTACTGCCACCTGGTGGTTAATAACATTACACGTCGTTCGGTTACACAATCATATTTTAGTACAGTGCAGCAACATATGAATGTGTTCTTAGAATTCAACAATATCAAGCTTTGATTTAAAGCTTTCGTGACTGCAGTAATTCATATTCTTAGTTCTTTGGGTAAAGTCACGTTGAAGGGAAACAACAAAATAATAAAATATATATAAAACAATAAAAATTCTCACGACGTTTCGACCATAACACAAACGGTCGTCTTCAGGTGTGTCGGTTTGCATAAATGTATTTATTTTTAAACGGTGTATTTATTTATTTATAAAAAACTTCAGCGCCACGCGCAGCGATTTGGCAGTTTATTTAGACGGACTAGTCCATCTATGTTCTTAAAAGGGGAGGGGGGAGACGAATTTTTTTTTATATGCTGTCTGAAAGCCACTGTAAGCGTGAACAATCAATTAAGACCTGAAATGGTTTATCAAATCTTTCCAATGATTGCTAAGCCAGAATCCATCTTCTCGGTTGAAATTGTCTCTGTGCTTGTAAATGTGGATAGCCTCATGAACGAATCTCTCATGGTAGCCAGATGGCTTACAAAGAACCTCTGTCTTGGAAAAGTCAATGTCATGTGAGCCTACTGAATTATAACAATGATCTGCCACAGCCGAGGTGTTGGTCCTACCGTGTTTAAGGTCTGCTTTGTGTTCACGAATGCGGTCCGAGACATGGCGTTTGGTTTCTCCAATGTAACTACTACCACAGAGGCAACTTAGTTTGTAGACACCAGGGTATTGTATGTCCGGAATCACATCTTTTACAGACGGAACCAGATCACGGATTTTATGTAATGTGTTGAAACGGACCTGGATCTTGTGTTTATTCAAGATTTTGGATATCTTTTTTGTGATCCCCACAATGTAGGGTAAAGTGATGGTTTTGAAAGGCTCCTCAAGAGGATCCTTCTTCATGGTTTGAGTGATAGCTTTGCGGATTGTATAGTCGGAGTAACCATTAGCCTTAACAGCTTGGTGTACGTGCTTGAGTTCACTGCCTATGTGTTCCTGGTCGGATATGCATTGGGCTCTATGATACAGAGTCTTGATGAGAGAATTCTTCTGTGATGGATGGTGGTGGGAATCCGGTTTCAGATAAGCATCCGTATGGGTAGCTTTCCTGTAGACAGAGTGGCTCATTGAACCATCAGGTCTCTTTTTAATTAGGACATCCAAAAAAGGTAGCTTGCCATCTATTTCGACTTCCATGGTAAATCTGATGGCTGGGTGTATGGAATTGATGTGGTCGAAGAATTGGTCTAGAGCAGGCCGGCCATGTGGCCAGATGACAAAAGTGTCATCCACGTACCTCTTCCATAAGGTTGGGCGCAGAGTGGCAGTCTGGATGGCGTCAGTCTCAAATTTCTCCATGAAAATGTTAGCTATAACCGGAGATAGGGGGGAGCCCATTGGGGTGCCCTCAGTTTGTTTGTAGAAAGTTCCATTCCAAGTGAAGTATGTATTGGTTAAACAGTGTCTCACCAGGGGGGGGGTACCTCAGTGTTTAGTCCTTGATGAACCAAGTCTTCAATGATTGCAATGGTGTCAGGTACAGGAACCTTGGTGAATAAGGAAACTACATCAAAACTGACAAGCAGGTCGTCTGGGGACAGGGAAATACCCTTGATTGTCGATACCAGGTGAGTAGAATTTTGTACCGCAGAGGTGTTTTTTCCAGTGAAAGGATGCAGGATTTCAGACAAAAAACTAGCCAGTTTGTAGGTGGGGGAGTTTTTTTTTGTCTGAAATCCTGCGTCCTTTCACTGGAAAAAACACCTCTGCGGTACAAAATTCTACTCACCTGGTATCGACAATCAAGGGTATTTCCCTGTCCCCAGACGACCTGCTTGTCAGTTTTGATGTAGTTTCCTTATTCACCAAGGTTCCTGTACCTGACACCATTGCAATCATTGAAGACTTGGTTCATCAAGGACTAAACACTGAGGTACCCCCCCCTGGTGAGACACTGTTTAACCAATACATACTTCACTTGGAATGGAACTTTCTACAAACAAACTGAGGGCACCCCAATGGGCTCCCCCCTATCTCCGGTTATAGCTAACATTTTCATGGAGAAATTTGAGACTGACGCCATCCAGACTGCCACTCTGCGCCCAACCTTATGGAAGAAGTACGTGGATGACACTTTTGTCATCTGGCCACATGGCCGGCCTGCTCTAGACCAATTCTTCGACCACATCAATTCCATACACCCAGCCATCAGATTTACCATGGAAGTCGAAATAGATGGCAAGCTACCTTTTTTGGATGTCCTAATTAAAAAGAGACCTGATGGTTCAATGAGCCACTCTGTCTACAGGAAAGCTACCCATACGGATGCTTATCTGAAACCGGATTCCCACCACCATCCATCACAGAAGAATTCTCTCATCAAGACTCTGTATCATAGAGCCTAATGCATATCCGACCAGGAACACATAGGCAGTGAACTCAAGCACGTACACCAAGCTGTTAAGGCTAATGGTTACTCCGACTATACAATCCGCAAAGCTATCACTCAAACCATGAAGAAGGACCCTCTTGAGGAGCCTTTCAAAACCATCACTTGACCCTACATTGCGGGGATCACAAAAAAGATCTCCAAAATCTTGAATAAACACAAGATCCAGGTCCGTTTCAACACATTACATAAAATCCGTGATCTGGTTCCGTCTGTAAAAGATGTGATTCCGGACATACAATACCCTGGTGTCTACAAACTAAGTTGCCTCTGTGGTAGTAGTTACATTGGAGAAACCAAACGCCATGTCTCGGACCGCATTCGTGAACACAAAGCAGACCTTAAACACAGTAGGACCAACACCTCGGCCGTGCCAGATCATTGTTATAATTCAGTAGGCTCACATGACATTGACTTTTCCAAGACAGAGGTTCTTTGTAAGCCATCTGGCTACCATGAGAGATTCGTTCATGAGGCTATCCACATATACAAGCACAGAGACAATTTCAACCGAGAAGATGGATTCTGGCTTAGCAATCATTGGAAAGATTTGATAAACCATTTCAGGTCTTAATTGATTGTTCACGCTTACAGTGGCTTTCAGACAGCATATAAAAAAAAAATCGTCTCCCCCCTCCTCTTTTAAGAACATAGATGGACTAGTCCGTCTAAATAAACTGCCAAATCGCTGCGCGTGGCGCTAACGTTTTTTAAATAAATAAATAAATACACCGTTTAAAAATAAATACATTTATGCAAACCGACACACCTGAAGACGACCGTTTGTGTTATGGTCGAAACGTCGTGAGAATTTTTTATTGTTTTATATATATTTTATTATTTTGTTGTTTCCCTTCAACCTGACTTTACCGAAAGAACTAAGAATATGAATATCAAGCTTAGTGAATTAAAACATGTCTCCTCTATCGGCTGTACCTTGTGAGTGAGAAGTACTGAGAAGGCACGTGTATGGGTGACCATGGTTTTATTGACTTGCCAAATTATTTATCCAGGAAGTCGGACTCATTTTCAGGAGGATCCTGGATTTGCTTTTTTATTTAAATATGTTTTCAGCCAATTAATGAGTGTTTATACAAGTGGGGAAAAAACCCGAGCACCCAGAGAAAACCTACGTGCATGAGGGGGAAACACTCAATCCTCATACAGATGGAAACAGATGGCAATGCGTCAACTTGCTGCGTTACCTTCTCCTGGTGAGCCAGGGTATGGCACCTCGACGCCCACGGGAATGGACCTGCACGACATTTTTTGTCATCTACCAACTCTCGCCTCCACAGTGGTGGATTTACAGGCGTGCGGAACCACTGCTCGGCACCTATACATTCCAAGAGCTCCCACTAAAATATTACGGGCTGTAAATATTCGAAATTTAAATGTAACAGTCACATTGGAGCAAAAATGTCCCCTTTACTTATTGTCCAATAACTACTGTCCAGTAGATCTACGGAATGTCACTGCAGATACTTTATTGTTACACAAATTAACGGTACAAAAGGGAGTAAAAGCAAATTCCTGGAGATCCCTTCGTGTCACCTCGTTAGTTGGGAGGTGCAGGCCTAGTCCCGTGAATCCAGGATGGATTTCGTGCTGCTCTTTGCAATTTTCTGCAGGGCGTAGAGTGTTCCATGCAACCCCGCAAAGGCAACTCCTGCTGCCAGGAGCCAGTTTCGCCTCAGCCAGGATGTATTCAGGGCCATTGCAGAAAATTCCAGGATCCGCTGTCAAAACACACGGAAAACATTTCCCGAGCCTTTCCTTGGCAATTGTCACCTCGTCTCTTTATTATGTACTGTAGTGGCAAAATAGATTTGTGCATTTACACCGAAGGGTTTAACTCATGGCCACAATTACTGCGTGCACTGCACTGTAATAAAAACACAATACTGTACACGACAAAAGTGTGTTTTATAGACGTGGCACTTTGCAAGGTGGGTAAATGAGTGTTTCGTAACCAACGAATATCCGTCTAACATCCAGGGTTTTTGTGTGTGTTATACTGGATTCGTGGAAATAGCTGTTGAAATGTACATTTACACTGAACCCAAGTTACAGTTTGCATGTGCGCGTGTTGATGAAACACATTTCAGTTACGGGTGTGAACAATTGTAGAGATAGTGATGAACAATGGGAGGACGTGTTAAAAATTTCCGTGATTTATTCTAAACGTTCCAAATGTATTCACTTTGGTCCGGATTCCCATTAAAAGCCAGAGCCATGAGCGAGCAACTACAGTACACATCACACATATTCCAGCAACCATCATATACAACACTCACGGGCAACATTAATCACACACTACAGGCAGAACTACTGCACAGAGAAGTACACATCCAGACTAGGGCTCATACTACACACTCAACACGCAAGTCACACGTGACACACACTATGAAACTATGACACACATACGTGTGAATGTGTGATACACACAATGAAAGCAATACAGCACGATACAGCCAATATATCAGCGTACACACGACATTACACTATAGTATAAAGGCCAGCACACCACACAACAGAACACCACATCACAGCCACTTACAATCCACACACACAGTGGCCATTCTGTGCGGCCGGGTCTGTCGAAACTCACTCGTACCGTGCACACAAACACACAAGACAGTCGTCACAACTTTACAGGTGAAAACAAAAATCGGTACAATGCCACGACACCCCCCCCTCCCCCAGACACGGGGTTCACGTCGCCTGTAAGTCCGGCACAGCAACACACACGAGGGCAGTGGTGGCCTTGAGACTCACCACCATCGAGGCCCTCCAGCCACTGCGGGAGATGACAGAGGTCAAAGGTGACCCGCGCGGATGGGCGGATTAGCGCCGCCTAACGGACGAGAATGAGAATATTTTTTTGTAAATAGTACTCTGGTTCTTTCGGTAAAGTCACGTAGGTAGAAAAATAATAGATCACGACGTTTCGATCGCAACACAAGCAATCGCCATCAGATGGGACAACCACAGCAGCAATCGTCATCAGGTGTGACAACCACAGCAGCAATCGTCATCAGGTGGGACAACCACAGCAGCAATCGTCATCAGGTGTGACAACCAAAGCAATCGTCATCAGGTGTGACAACCAAAGCAATCATCATTAGGTGGGACAATCACAGCAGCAATCGTCATCAGGCGGGACAACCAAAGCAATCGTCATCAGGTGGGACAACCACAGCAGCAATCGTCATCAGGTGGGACAACCACAGCAGCAATCGTCATCAGGTGGGACAACCACAGCAGCAATCGTCATCAGGTGTGACAATCAAAGCAATCGTCATCAGGTGTGGCAACCAAAGCAATCATCATCAGGTGGGACAATCACAGCAGCAATCGTCATCAGGCGGGACAACCAAAGCAATCGTCATCAGATGGGACAACCACAGCAGCAATCGTCATCAGGTGGGACAACCAAAGCAATCGTCATCAGGTGGGACCACAGCAGCAATCGTCATCAGGTGGGACCACGGCAGCAATCGTCATCAGGTGTGACAACCACAGCAGCAATCGTCATCAGGTGGGACCACAGCAGCAATCGTCATCAGGTGTGACAACCAAAGCAATCGTCATCAGGTGTGACAACCACAGCAGCAATCGTCATCAGGTGGGACCACAGCAGCAATCGTCATCAGGTGTGACAACCAAAGCAATCGTCATCAGGTGTGACAATCACAGCTGCTGTGGTTGTCCCACCTGATGATGCGCTGCGATCGAAACGTCGTGATGTATTATTTTTCTATCTACGTGACTTTAGCGAAAGAACCATGGAGTATGGATTCCTGCAGTCACGAAAGCTTAAAATCAAGATTTTTGAAAAACTATTTTAACAAATCTTGACTTAAAGCTTTCGTTACCGCAGGAATTCATATTCCTTGTGTCTTTCGGTAAAGTCACGTAGATAGTTCAAAGAAAATAACAAAAAATAACAAACAAAAAACGACGACATTTCGATCGCAACTGCTTGAAGACGACCGCTTGTGTTGCGATCGAAACGTCGTAGTTTTTTTGTTATGGGGCCGTCCATAAATGACGTCACGCACCTAGGGGGGGAGGGGGGGTCAGACATTTGTGACGATGTGTGACGAGGGGGGGGGGGGGGGAGTGAGAAATGTGACGTCACATCAAAATGCGCAACTTTATAAATAAATATAGACAACACGTTCTACTTAATTAAATAGACTTTTTAATAAATGTTTTCTCCTACAACATCAGAGTGCAGCGCCACATTAAATACGCACTAGAATGACAATAGTTTAAAGCGATTTGAAGCATGTTTTATTTATTTTGGGGGGGGGGCAGAGCTTTGTGACGTCATATTTGAAGGGGGGGGGGTCTGACTTTTTGTGACGCCGTGTGACGAGGGGGGGATGGGTCAAAAATCGTCCAAAATCGCGTGACGTCATTTATGGACTGCCCCTATTTTCTTTGAAGCTATCTACGTGACTTTACCGAAAGACCCAAGAAATATCTACTTTAACAAATTGGAGGGATTTTGTTTTTTGACACACCGGGTAAGGGGTGGGAGGGCTTCACCCCCCTACTGGAGCTGTTTGCGGCTCTTTCTTGGGAGCGACCTGGCCACAAATGATTGCTCAACGGAGTGGCGTATCGCGTGGACATGTGTCGCAGGCAAATACTCGAAACGAACGTTGGCTCTAAACGTGGGAGGGAAAAACCAAAAGAACCGGGAGAGATAAAAAAAAACGGAGAGAGAGAGAGACACCACAAACTCCAAATATACAACAGGCGTCTGGGTCGGGATCGAACCCGCGATCTCCTGCATCCCACCGTGGCGAGATGTTAATCGCGTTGACTGTAGGAGGAATCCGTTGCGCTATGAAGCTATTTTTTCACGGATTGGTAGGATCGCCGTGGCACTGATCCCGCAGTCTTTCTTCACACGCAGTGGGGATCGTGGCCACGGCACATCCCAAACTCTGGGCCATGTCATAAACCACTGTGCATGGTGGTCCAGATGTCTCGTGACCCCCCCCCCCCCTCTCCAATTAAGTGACCCCTAGCACTTTTATCCTTTGCGTATTCGTTTCTGTTTTAAATAACCCTTACTTTAAAATGTACATTGAGTTTTAGGTAATTAAGTGGGGGTCACAAGACATCTGAACTACCCTGTAGTCTGCGCTTCTTCAACGGAAGAGGAATATAAAAACTACACGAACGCCTCCTGAATCCGTCTCGTCGTGGTTTGTAGACCACGACATTCTTGGCATTTAGCTCCTGAACACAAACCTGTCAACTCCTTATCAGTGCCCTTCCGTATTACAGACCAATTCAGACCTTATTGGTCACCCCGTGCCCCTTATAAATCTCAACGTCCATCCTGCAAAGTCCCATCAAAAGGGATAAACATAAATAGACATTTTTTAAAGCTCAATTTCCATGTACGAAAATACGGGTCAACCGTATGGGTTGACAGGTATGTGAACATATTTCTGCCATCACACGCAATAATGTAATACAGATCTTACGCCTTTGCCAATTTGCTCATTTACTGGACATCTGTAAAAAAAACCAAAGATATTAGCAGCTCATCGAGTTCATCTCCATATATATAAAAGGCAAAGTTGTGAAAATGTAATAAAGTATTAAAGCTTTCGTGACTGCATAAAATTACTCATTGGTTTTTTTCGGTAAAGTCACGTTTGTAGAAATACAATAAAATTATATTAAAACAAAAAACAATCACGACGTTTCGATCACAACGCAAGCGATCTTCATCAGGTGTCAAGAACAAATCACGGAGGTAAATACAACACAAAGATGAGAGACGAGAATTCAACAAACCTGAAAAAACATTATGTGAAGCCACATCCAGTCAGGCCAACAGCACAGTTAGACACTTCTTGGCGGACCACAAATTTCAGAAGTGTCTAACTGTGTTGTTGGCCTGACTGGATGTGGCTTCACATAAAGTGTTTTTTCAGGTTTGTTGAATTCTCGTCTCTCATCTTTTTGTTGTATTTACCTCCGTGATTTGTTCTTGACACCTGATGAAGATCGCTTGCGTTGTGATCGAAACGTCGTGATTATTTTTTGCTTCAATATAATTTTATTGTATTTCTACATACGTGACTTTGTGAATGTCTCCGTTCAAAATGTTTAGAGTACTTCCCGACATGCAACAAACTTGAAATTTGCCATGTGGGTACTTTCCAGACTGTACACTATGCAAAATGTATAGAAATACACTTTAGTTTTTTTTTTGTGGGGGGGGGAGCTCAATAATGCATACATTTTTTTGCACGGCAAGTTAGCTGTGACGTCAAGTCTGTCACGTGACCATCGCATGTGGAAGCGTAACGCATTGTAGTGTAGTGGTTAGCGCGCTGTGTATGTGTCTGTGTGTGTGTCTGTGTGTATGTGTCTGCGTGGAAGCGTAACGCATTGTAGTGTAGTGGTTAGCACGCTGCGCTACGAACCCGGCAACCCGAGTTCGATTCCCGCTCACGGCCACCATCGGTGACGATTATTTGAACCTGTCCTGGGCCTCCCCTAGGTCGACTCAGCCTCAAACGAGTAACTGTGGAGGTGTGAACATCGCCACTGGGGAGACAAAGGCGGCCGGGTGTGGTGAGTCCCAAGTCCCGGGCGAAGCCGGGTAGTGCAGCTAGTTAGGAATAAATAAAAGTTTATGATGAAGGTTCCGATTCATTTGCCGAGGAAACGGTTGCACATCCAAGGTGTAACGCCAGGTGGCGTAGGTAGATCAGGGGTTAGAGAAGGTGGCAGATCTGAGATTCGTCACTAAGAAAGGCCTCTACGGAAATGTTTTTTTTACCTACTCATCTATGCTGGGCAGACGTCTTGAAAGGGGAGATCATGGGTGGGCGTGTAACTATTCACCCACTTTGTGGATGATGGATTGGTCAGGATTCGGGTTTGTGATTTCAATCAGGAATCAATTGCTGTTTGCCATTGTAACTCCCCGAGTATCTGGAGGCTTTACGTGAACCTATCACAACGCTTACGAATTGTTAATAATTGATTCTTTCAAGCACGATTCAATGCATGTTTTGGCAGTGTAAGCATGTATCTAAGCAACACGTTGATTCACCATTACATACCTACTCAGGAATAAGACAAAACCGCAGATTATGCAACCCATGGAATCTCATTAAATATGAATTTTTCTAGATTTTTTTTTCCCGATTCCGATTGTGCTGGTAAAGCCCTGTTGTCACGAGGTGGTGTGATTTCCATTGGGAGCTTTCATAGTGAGTGTTGTGACATCTCCCCCATATTAGAGAAGCACTTCTAAATAAGATGCTATCACAAAACTGCTTCTGAGATAATTTGAATTCCTTCTCAAATGCCCTACTATATATGTGTTCATGGTATGGCAAATAAAAAAATGGGCGTCAAGAGCTGGAATAATGAAAGAAATTATTCCAAATTAACTGAAACAGAATGTCATAAGATAGATTTTTGGTTTACATTCATTGGTGATCAGGCTGAATCATCAATTCGTCACCTTTGAGAACCTTGTTTAGTAATGGTTGGCAGAAATACAGTTTCCCACTCAGCCAACTGGCCACCTCATTATAGACGGTTATTGAGAAGTTTGTAACCACACAACATATACAAGGGTCTATAAAGGATTCTTTGAATGTAAACATTCTTTGAGGCTTTCAGATCATTGCTTTCAGCACAAATTTGTTTTAAATCTGTATTTATTAGAATGTACTGAAGCAAAGACAATGTAGGCGAGACATCAACTAGGTCTATATATAGCTAAATAATGTATTCTGAAATTGTGCCTCGGGTAAAATTTCCGATTTTGTTTTACAGATACAGTACTATATGTATAATAGGTGTGG